AACAGAGACAGAGAGACAGAAAGCAAGAAACCACCCTCAGGGGGGATGGCCACACCACAATCCCTTCTCCTCCGTTCTCCTCTCGGGATCTTGGGCATGCACGCACACCTGACATGAGTTTCAAGCTGCCAGGTCCAGGCCTCAAACTGTGGTCAGCCATGTGGGAGTCCAGTGGCATAACCATTATGTCATCTGCTGGTCCCCCAGACTTGAACCGCAGAATCATGTGATGATCCAGCTGCCTTAAACCACAACCACCAGCTGGCTTTAGATTAAATGTGTTTAAAAGCCAACTCAAGGACGGGCAGATGGCATAATGGTTACATTGCTGGACTCCCACATAGTCAACCGCAGTTCAAGTCCTGGACCTAGAAGCTTAAAACTCACGCCAGCGCATGTATGTGTGTGCCCCAAATCCCTTGAAGAATGGACAGGGATTGCATGGCCTTCCCCCCAGGGGGTGATTGTTGCTTTCTGTCTCCTTGGCGAGTGCATGCGCCCTGTAACAAAAATCTCTCTAAACAAAACAAAATAAAACGCCAGCTCTGGGACCAGCAGATGGTGTAGCAGTCATGTTGCTGGAGTCCTGCATGGCCAAACCGGTTTGAGTCCTGGACATGGTGGTTTGAAAATACATGCCCAAGATTCCAGGAGCAGACTGGAGGAGAATGGATTGCAGCGTGGCCATACCCCTGAGGGGTAATGTCTCACTTTGCCTCTCATTGTCTGTTTTTCTCTCCATCCCCTGCAAGTTCATGTGCCCTAAGGTTAATAAAAACCTCTAAAAGAAAAAAAAAAAAAAGCCAACTCAGTGCTTGAGTTAGCTCATGCTTTTTTTTTTTTTTTTTGAGAGGTTTTTGCTATAGGGCGCGTGCGCTCGCCAGACAGACAGAGAGAGACAGAGACAGAAAGCAGGAAATCACCCCCCGGGGGGATGGCCACGCTGCAATCCCTTCTCCTCCATTCTCCTCTTGGGATCTTGGGCACGCACGCACATGCGCCCGGCGTGAGTTTTAAGCCAACGGGTCCAGGACTCGAACCGCGGTCGACTACGTGGGAGTCCAGCGACATAGCCATTACGCTAACTGCTGGTCCCCTATTTTTTTTTTTTAATTTAAAAACAAATTTTATCGTTTTTTTCTTTCGGAGAGGTTTTTGCTATAGGGTGCATATGCTTGCCAGAGAGTCAGAAAGCGAGAAATCACCCTCCCTGCCCCCCCATGGTCATGCTGCAATCCCTTCTCTTCCATTCTCCTCTTAGGATCTTGGGCACAGGTCAAGATTTTGGGTCTGGGACTCAAACTGCGGTCAACTGCATGGGAGTCCAGCAACATGGCCATTATGCCAACTGCTGGTCCCATTATTGATCTATTTTTAATTTCACTTATTTATTTTCATTTGCCCACAGAGGGACAGAGTGAGAGAGAGCGGTGAGAAAGCAAGTTGCCAGGTCCGGGACTCGAAGCATAGTTGGCCACGTGGGAGTCCAGTGCCCCTTACCACCGTGCCACCTGCAGGCCCCATGCTATTTCTTTCCTTTTCTCTCTTTTTTTTTTTTTTTTTTTTTTGGGGGAAACCTTTGCTATGGGGGTCCCTGGAGAGAAAGAGACAAAGACAGAGAGACAGAAAGCAAGAAATCACCCCCTGGGGGGCATGGCTGCACCACAACCCCTTCTCTTCCACTCTTCTCTCGGGATTCTGGGCACGCACACACATGCACCTAGCATGTTTCAAGCCACCAGGTCTAGGACTTGAACCATGGCCGACCATGTGGGAGTCTGGTGACGTAACCATTATGCCATTTGCTGGCCTCAGCTCTTGCTGTTTCTACCACGCCAAAGTTTTCCAAACTTAAGTATAACATGTCCAGAAGAACGAACAAAACTATTCAACCAACTATTTTTATTGAAGTAAAATCCATCCAACATGAGACAACTTAGAGAGCAGCACTGAGAACATCCAGTCTGTACAACCCGCCTCTATTTACAATCGTTCTAGGGCATTTTCATCACCCGCAAATAAAACCCCTCGCTCAGTAAGCGCTCACTCCCCACTTTTCTCTTGCTCCAAGCCTCTGGTAATCACCACTCTGCTCTTGGGCTCGACGGATTTACCCATTCTGGATATCTCCTATCAGGGGGGTCCTACGACGTGCGTCCCTGCGTTTGGCTTCCCCTCGGCCTGTGTTTCTGAGCTTCGGTGGCTCACCCCTGGTTATGGTTCGCCACATCATCTCTCTTTCCGGTTGAGTAATGTTCTACTGTATGGATACAGCACATAAGTTACTCATTCATCCACTCGAGAGTATTTGTGTTGTTTCCAGCTTACGGTTATTGCGAAAAGTGCTGAGATGGACATTTGTGTACACGTGTGTGTCTGAACGCTTGCCTTCCATTTTCTGGGCACACACTGAGAACTGCCGGGTCACACGACAGTTCTGTACTGAACGTAAGGAACCACGAACTGCTCACCGCAGAGGCAGAGCCACTTGACAGTCCCACAGCAATATATAAGGCTCTACTTTCTCCACGTCCTTGTCATCAAGCAAAGCTCAAATTCTGAATTTAAAAAATGATATCTAATTTGCCCTAAATAGAAGATAATGCTAAATTAATATAAGTCCATAACTTTTTTCTTTTAATTTCTCTTGGGACCCAGACATTAAAAAAACAAAAATCCACTGTAGCATAAGGCACAGAGTGAGTATTTATTTATCACAGAGGTCAAGCCTAAGTTCCATCTTGTAAATACTGGAAGAGCAGGCCAGAAGAGCAGAGAGACTTGCTCCAAGTCACAGCTAAAGGACTCTTCTAACCAGGTGAGGCCAGAACACAGGAAAATATTTTAGAAGCATTCATAACTCCACCCTCAAATCTACTCTCTCCAATGTTCCTTGAAGTTCCTGACACCAAAGTTATTTCCAGTATCTTTTGAGAACGAGTAGGAGCCCCAGTAAGAACAGAGGAAGAGAGATGGTGGCAAACAGGAGACAAGACACCCTGTGTGCCATGGAGCAATGACGTCGATCTGGCTAAAGAGCAGCCAGTTATCTGCTATCTGAGCGTGGGGTCCGCTGACATTAAGAGGGCATTTTAGAAGATCTGTGGCTCCCAATTTCCCTATCTTTTGGTTTACCCAGAAATCTTTCCAGTCTCACCCACATTCCAATCCTTTCTAAAGCCCTGAGTTCTTTCTCCCAAATCGTTTCTATTACTTTATTTCCTGGTCTGGGAGGGAAACAGGTCATGGGATTTTCAGGTAGAGGGCATTTCCACATTGGAGAGGGTGAAGGCCTCCGGCCTGGCTTCCTGCCTCAGCACT